TGCCACCTGCCACGACCTCCTCCTCCATGAGATCCAGTCCCCCGCCACGAGATCCAGTCCCCCTGCCACCTGCCACGACCTCCTCCTCCATGAGATCCAGTCCCCCGCCACGAGATCCAGTCCCCCCGCCACCTGCCACGACCTCCTGCTCCACGAGATCTAGTCCCCCGCCATGAATCCCTACACCCTCGTTCGATCTCTCACACGCAAGGTGGCCGAGAACTGTGACTGCTTACAAGGTATTCCATCATTCTTCATCATCTTTGATTGGATTCAGTAGCAAAGAGTGTTAATTTTGTAACATATATTCCTCATGATAAGCTAGAAACAATTATAGTTAAGCTCAAATTGATTTTGGTTCTACATCAATGTGGTTTGTTTTTTTTTAATTTTGACTATACAGTTGAGCTCAAATTCAGTAGCAAAGAGTGCTAATTTTGACTATCAATGTGGTTTACTTTTTCTTGAGGTAAATTAACTAGAATTTCTGCAGAAAACTATTCAGAAATAATCCTACTGAACTGGTGCCACTCTCTCGTTACTCACTTTAAATGTGAATGTGATAAAAAGTTCTATGAGTTGAAGCACTTTATGTTTAGATTTTTTTATACTCAACAGATGTATATGCCTGATAGCTATTATAGTCCAATAATAGATTTCTTTGAATTTTATTCACTAAACTCCCTTAGTTTCAAATACTTCTTGGTGTAACAAGATGGAAATATGAATCATCATGGAGTCATACATATAGATACTCATATGCTTTCAGATTCGGATTTGTTGTTGTCGCATCGTATGCAACATCACAAACTAAACTGCTATACAAATGTGGAATTCATAAAAGTGGTGGCGTCACAACATATAAGATATAATTTTCTAGGGCATCCATAAATTATTAGAGCATATTTAAAAAATGACGCTTGCCAATACTTGTCAAGGATACACAGTCATTCAAGGATATACAGTCATGCAAAAGTAACGAGCAGCACTAGTAGTGACATTATGCAGACAGAATAAGCTATTAACAGGTCGCAGAGAAAGAAGGATAATGCTTATCCAAGTTGTGTTAATTCAGTAGCAAAGAGTGTTATTTTTGACTATACAATGGTAGAGAACAAATTGTTCATTCACCCTATCCTTGTTAGATAATGCTACATTATATATAGAACTGAAGCATCAATATTCACTTGTCTTTTTTCCGTTGATAATCTCTTTTCAATGCACAAATTTCCAGATGATATAATGGCAAGAAAGAGTTTTTATGTTGTAAAGAGAGGTTGACGTTGTGGCATTTTTTATAATTGGGAGGAATACAAATCTCAAGTTGATAGATTCCCAAAAGCCTCCTACAAAGGGTATGCAACGTATGAAGAGGCTTTGAGTGAATGAGAGAAGCACTTAAGCACGCATGATTCAACATCCAGCTCAAGGCATGTCACTACCACATATTTGCTCTAACGTAACAGTTCTAGTGCAACGCTTATGACCGTTGCGCTAGGTATCTATGGGGGCGGTTTTGCAATGCTTTGACAACGGTTTACAAAAACCGCTTCGCTAGGCCCAATAATTTTGATTTGGGCCGATTTTATAGACTGGTTTGGGCTTAACACTAAAACTAAATCTCTTTTTTAACACTGAAACTAAATCTCTTTTTTTCTCACCGCTTTACCAAATATCCCTCTTTCTCTCTCTCTCTCTCTCAAATCATCACCCCTTTCAAAAATATCTCCCTCTTCGTTCGCTCTGGGAGATCGCCATGGCCGAAATTCGTCGATCTCATCGCTGAACTCGTCGCTAATCTCTTTGCCGTTTTCCGATCTCATCGTCTCCGATCTCAACTCTGATTTCGTCGTCGATCTCGTAACTAATCTCTTCGTCGAGCTGCTGGTCTCGTCTCCGATCTCATCTCCGATATAGGTCGTCGAGCTCGCAGCTAATCCGTCTCCGATCTCACTCTCCTTTGGACTCTCAGGTACCTCAGTTCCTTGTATTTCTGACGTTCGCTCTGGGAGATCGCCATGGCCGAAATTCGTCGATCTCATCGCTGAACTCGTCGCTAATCTCTTTGCCGTTTTCCGATCTCATCGTCTCCGATCTCAACTCTGATTTCGTCGTCGATCTCGTAACTAATCTCTTCGTCGAGCTGCTGGTCTCGTCTCTGATCTCATCTCCGATATAGGTCATCGAGCTCGCAGCTAATCCGTCTCCGGTCTCACTCTCCTTTGGACTCTCAGGTACCTCGTTCCTTTTATTTCTGATTTCTACAGTTTCTTCCCCTTTCTATTAGGGAAATTCTCCTTGCATCTATAAATCTATTTTGTTTGTTTCTTTGGTCTCAAACAATTTCTTTTTCCTAAGAGTACGTAAGATACTTGAAGGATTTGCTTACAAGATTTTTCACTTCCAGTTTCATATCTGGCGATACTTGCAGTTTCTAGTTTGATTATTGTGAGTGGTATCAGAGCCCAGATTTCTGATCTAGGGTTTTTTGGTGGAGGAAGATTTTTGTGTGAAGCTTAGTTCTTGGAGTTCTCAGCTTCGGTGGAGATAGCATTAGGAGTTGCCGTTGGAGATTTTTGCTTTCCTCGTGTGGATAGGAGATCTATTTGGAATCCGATCTAGGGTTCAGTTGGGTGGTTCCTAATTCTATCAAATTTGTTCTTTCTCTACAATTTGGAGTTAGTTCGCAATGGGAGAAGAAGGTGAAAGCAGCAAATCGATGGCGGGTACAATACAAGTTGGTTTTCAAAACACCAAAATTAGTGTGGTGAAATATGACGGAAAAATCAACTTTGGTTTGTGGATGAGCGACGTACAGGATGCGCTCAATGCTCAGAATTTGGAAGAGACCATTATGGTCCACGAAAGACCACCTAAATATGATGAGGCGGTATGGGAGAAAATGAATAGGAACGCTTGTGGGGTGATCAGGTCCTGTTTGGAACAGGAACTGAAATATGATGTGATTGGGGTGCTCAGAATTTGGAAGAGACCATTATGGTCCACGAAAGACCACCTAAATATGATGAGGCGGTATGGGAGAAAATGAATAGGAACGCTTGTGGGGTGATCAGGTCCTGTTTGGAACAGGAGCTGAAATATGATGTGATTGGGGTGACGTCTGCAATGAAGATGTGGGAAATTCTCAACAATAAGTATCTCACAAAGAGTGTTGAGAACAGGTTGCACTTGCTACGAAGACTCTTCAGATTTCAGATGTCCAGAGGCACCTCGCTAGCGGCTCATGTGAACAACTATACGAAGTTGTTGTCGGACTTGGCGAATGTTGATGAGAAGATATCGGATGAGTACAAGGCGATTATTTTGTTGGGCTCCTTACCGGATGAGGAGTATGATACCTTCGTGCTCACTTTGTTGAACGGGAGATCTTCGATCAGCTATAGTGAAGTGACTAACGCATTGACCAACTATGATTTGAGGAGGAAGGACAAGGAGACTTCCCGCGCTAGTACTTCAGGAGAGGCCTTGTCGACGAGAGGTAGAAGCCCATATCCGAAAGGTGGTAACAGAGGGAGGTCAAAGTCTAGAGGCCGCCACCAATTAACAAAGAACCAATGTGCATTCTGCAAGGAGCAGGGACATTGGAAGAGAGACTGCCCGAAGCTCAAGGAGAAGGAGAATGGCAAGAAAAAGGGCCCGAAGGCCAATGAGGTGAACATTGCGAAAGGCGATGATTCCGATGATTCGTGCTTTTCTCTACTGATTACTCCGGAGGTGAACCATGTGGATGCATCAGATTGGATGCTTGATTCCGGCGCTACCTTTCATGTGACCCCTAGGCGAGACTGGTTTGCATCTTTTGAGAAAGTCGACGGGGGCGTTGTTGTCATGGGAAATGATCAATCCTGTGGCGTTTGTGGGATAGGTACCGTGCGGATTAGGATGCACGATGGAGTAGTCCGTGAGTTGAAGGAGGTGAGATTTGTTCCTCAACTGAAGAAAAATCTTATCTCAGTTGGAGCTTTGGAGGCGAAGGGATTCAAGGTGACTTTCGAAAACGCTGTAGCGAAGGTTACTAAGGGATCATTGGTGGTGATGAGGGGAGTCCGCAATCGGAATTTGTATTATCTGAAGGGAAGCACCGAGATTGGCCAGGTTGCTTCGGCTATTTCAGAAGCGGACATGAGCAGACTTTGGCACTATAGGTTGGGGCACACAGGTGAAAAGTCACTGCAGGCATTGTGCAAGCAGGGGCTATTGAAGGGAGCCAAGAGTGGGAAGATTGAGTTCTGTGAGCACTGTGTTCTTGGCAAGAAGACGAAGGTGAAGTTCGGGACTGCCATTCATCAGACGAGGGGCATCCTGGATTACGTGCACACAGACATTTAGGGTCCCACCAAGACTGCATCACTTGGTGGTAGACATTGGTTCGTCACTTTTGTAGATGACTATTCTAGGCGTTGTTGGGTGTACACCATGACGAAGAAGAGTGAAGTCCTAGATTTGTTTGTGGAGTGGAAGAAGAGATTGGAACTGCAGACTGGGAGAAAGATCAAGACGTTGCGATCCGACAACGGTGGTGAGTATACTTCTGACCCCTTTCAGCAGCTATGTCGAGACGAGGGCATAGAGAGACACTTCACAGTTAGTCATACACCGCAGCAAAATGGGGTGGCAGAGAGGTTGAATCGGCAGGGAAGGAAAAATTAGTTTGCAAACTGAAGAAATCACAATACGGTTTGAAGCAGTCTCCTCGACAGTGGTATAGGCGATTCGATGGTTTTATGCTTGGTCATTCGTACACTCGGAGCCAGTTTGATCCTTGCGTATATTTTTGCAAGTTGAAAGGAGGTGCGTACATCTATTTGTTACTTTATGTCGATGACATGTTGGTTGCCTCTACTTCCAGGTCGGCTATAGATGAGTTGAAAGTTCAGCTTTCAAATGAGTTTGAGATGAAGGACTTGGGTGAGGCCAAACGCATTTTGGGAATGGAGATCGGCAGAGACAAGAAGAAGGGCAGAATTTGTTTGACACAGGTGGCTTATTTGAAGAAGGTTCTACAGCGATTCCATGTTAGCATGGATACGAAGCCAGTTAGTGTACCATTGGGAGCCCATTTGAAGCTTTCAGCTGGTCTTTCACCAAAGTCAGTTGAAGATCGTGAGTTGATGTCGAAGACTCCATATGCGAGCGCAGTTGGGAGCTTGATGTACGCGATGGTATGTACGAGACCAGATTTGTCACAGGCGGTGAGCATGGTTTCGAGATACATGCACGATCCAGGAGTGGGTCATTGGGACGCCGTGAAATGGATTTTGAGGTACATTCGAGGTACGCTCAATGTTGGTTTAGTTTATGAGCGGGACACTACAGGTGGGCAGTTATGCATTGGCTATGTTGATTCGGATTATGCCGGGGATTTGGATAAGCGCCGGTCTACTACGGGATATGTGTTTACTTTGACCCGTGCGTCGGTGTGTTGGAGATGCATCTTACAGTCGACGGTAGCTTTGTCTACGACGGAGGCAGAGTATATGGCAGTTACGGAGGCTGTGAAGGAGGCTATTTGGCTTCGAGGACTTTTAGAGGAACTTGGTATATCGCAGAGGTCCGTCACTATTCATTGTGATAGCATGAGTGCTATCTATTTGGCGAAGAATCAGGTTTTTCATGCGAGAACGAAGCATATTGACGTTCGTTATCACTTCGTTCGGGATGTTCTTGAAGATGGCGATGTGGAAATTATGAAAGTCCACACGAAGGATAATCCGGCGGATATGCTCACTAAGGTGGTTCCGAACAACAAGTTTGATCATTGTCGAAACTTGTTGCACATTCATGATTGTTGAGGCAGTTGGCGGCCATTTGATGAACTACGTTCGGCTTGATTCCTTGGGCAAGAGGATACGTAGGCAGTCTTTCAGATGCAGCCGGTTTGGATTAGTTAATTTTTGATGGGGGTGAGATTGTTTGAACTCTCGTTTTGGTTCTCGACTTGTTGTGGATTGAGTCCGTACTGGACACAACAAGTGGGATATTTGGTTGCTTGGTGTCGGCTCAGTTTTTGGAAAAACTTCACCGAGGTGGAGAATTGTGAGTGGTAGGCGGGCCCACCCGTTTCACGTGTGAGGAGCAGATGAAGCAAAAAAAAAAAAAAACAAAGGCCCACCCGATATTTGTGATATAAATAACAACATGTGATCTCCTTGGTTACGGTAGCAGGGAGGTTTTGTTTTCTCCTTTTTTGCGGCTGCGACAGGAGCGCAAGGAGAGAAATTTTTTCCAGCTTCGGTTGTTTTTTCGGCAGAAGAAATTCAAAAAGCGCAGGAGATTGATTTGTGCATGCCAAGGAGTTGTTTTTTTGGTTTGTGCGGCTGCAGACTTGTGCAATTGAAGGGACGGCTGTGGGTGCTTTTGTGCAGCTGACTGTGGGAGAAAATTTGTGCAGTCCCTTCTTTGGTTTTTGTGCACCCTTTTGAGAGAGATATTTGTGAGGGATTTGAGAGTTTGTTTGAGGGTTTAGATTGAGAGTGATTGTAAACCCTAGTTGTATTCTCTCCCTCTATTAGTAGATCTCCCCCCTCCTTGCCCCGTGGACGTAGGCAATTTGCCGAACCACGTTAAAATTGGTTGTACTGCTTTTGTGTGATTTGTAATAGCTTTTAGGGTCCCTCGACGCGCAGTCCTAGAGCTGACGAGAGGAAGAGCTAATATCCTACTTTGATAGGATATAGGCTTCAGATTCTTGTTTCCTTTGAGAAACAAGAATTCTTATTGCGACCTGACTCTCTTGTTGTGCTGCCGAAGTGCTGCCGAAATTTCCGCTGCGCGCAACAATTATTTCTTTCTTGTTTTTCCCAATTTTGAAATGTCAAAACAAGAACTTCAGGAGATAAATTTGTCCACCAGATTTCAATAATTTGCAAATTCTACGTAACCAGTTAAAAAGAAGGAAACTAGCTTAATAAGGAGAAGCATCCGATGTAAGATCTGCAGAAAAAAGCTGCCAATGTTTTGTGCCAGAACAGCAGCCTCTGCATAGGCCACCAGCTTGGTCCTGATGAATGTTGCCAATGATTGTAACTCAATTCAAAATTTTCAATTGAGATCGCTATGTATCAATTTTTTTTCAAATAGATAACTTGTTAAATACTGTATACAAAATATACATCTAATTACCTCAACATGTATATACATGCATTTAAAAAAAGTTTCTGTTTAGATGAATATTTACAATCCGCTTGCTTGCTTGTTGTTCTATATACATGCATTTAAAAAAAGTTTCTGTTTAGATGAATATTTACAATCCGCTTGCTTGCTTGTTG